TGCGTGAATTTAAACTCTATCTAAGCTCATGTTTTCACATGAAGGATCTTGGCCTTCTTAAATATTTTCTTGGGATTGAAGTGGCGTGTAGTGCGGATGGCATTTTTCTGTGTCAACGCAAATACACGCTGGATATCATTGATGAATAAGGACTTCTTGGGTCCAAACCTGCAGCGTTTCCCATGGAACCGAATCATAATTTGGCTTCGTCAACGAGTGATTTATTGTCATGTCCGGAATCTTATCGGCGTCTTGTGGGCCGGCTTATATACCTCTCTTTCACTCGACCTGACTTAGCATATTCCGTTCACGTGCTGTCTCAATTTATGCAGAACCCGCGAACGAAGCATTGGCACGCGGCTCTTAGGGTGGTCAGATATCTCAAGGGCTGCCCAGGACAAGGAATTCTTTTAAGCTCCAAAAGTGATTTGTCTCTCATTGGATGGTGTGACTCCGATTGGGCCAGTTGCCCCCTTACTCGTCGTTCTTTGACAGGGTGGTTGGTCTTCTTTGGTGGTTCGCCAGTCTCATGGAAGACTAAGAAACAACATACTGTTTCTCGCTCATCTGCTGAAGCCGAATATCGCTCCATGACAGCGATTACTGCGGAGTTGAAATGGCTCAAAGGCCTACTTCACACTCTCGGTATATCTCATGATCGTCCTATATCCTTATTTTGTGATAGTCGTTCAGCGCTTCATATTGCTCAAAACCCAGTCTTTCATGAACGTACAAAACATATTGAGGTTGATTGCCATTATGTTCGTGATGCTATTCAGGAAGGACTCATCTCTACGCACCACGTTCCTACCAATGATCAACTCGCTAATATTTTCACTAAGGCTCTTGGCAAACAACAATTTTACTATCTTCTTGGCATGTTGGGCATTTTGGATCCGCATGCTCCAACTTGAGGGGGGTGTTGACGCACGTATATATGTACATAGGCCGAGTTGTATTTTATTTGGGTCAAATGTATTCTTTCAGCCTTGTTTAAATAGGGTAGCATTCATACTTGTATAAATACGGACGTGTTGACTCGTTTGAGGGTCAAGATTAATGAGTATCATTATTTTCCATATCTTCTAAAATCCATCAATATGTGACATATTTGAGAAGAGAAATGCTAGAGGTACCCAAAATGGGGTACCCATTTGTACCTCACTCTATGAGTGGCTCACAAAACCCCAACCCTACAAAACAATCACCCACTTAAATTCATTGCTTTTTTTAACCACAAAACTAGGAAGGGGGTACAAAATGGGGTATAGAATGGGGTAGCTTTAGAATTTTTCATTTGAGAAACTGTCTAGCGCATCTCAGTCTGTTATCGACTCACTCTCCCATATAGGATGTCTTAATTGGGTTCAAAACTCTATGAAGAGAATACCCCATATATGCCCCCTCCCCTGACCCTCTCTGATCTGAGGTAAAAAAGAAAAAACGAGATGTAACATAAATGCATTAAGAATTTCAATGAGGTAGCTGTTTGAAAGTAGATATAGGGTTTATACACACTTCGACGTTGAGGCAAGATACGAGAGATAAGAGAGAGCAGGATGGAATATTTTTTTCATTTTTTTATGTGGGTGTTGTACGTACTTCTCCGGTTCTTAATGAACTTTACACTTTCCTTTTTGGGCAGTCCCATATTAAACTTTACACTTCCTTATTTGCCTTACTTGGCAAACAAATCTACATCAAACAGTGCAAAACAGTGTCAAACGGTGTCAAACGGTGTCAAACGGTGTATTCTACAGTAAAGTCAAATTTATTTCCTTAATACGACGTAAATGTGAAGCCAAAGTGTCAAGTTCATTAAGACTCGGAGAGAGTACTACGTATATCTTAGCAAAATGTATTAAAAAGGTTTTCTGATGTTCTCTACAATTCTACAAACAATATTTTTATTCTACAATCACAATATTTTTCTGATTGAAGTAGTTCACAATATTTTGCGAATCATTAATATTCATATTCACTATTCTTGCAGTCTTCTTTGCTCTTGAAACAGTGCCATGAATAATTCAAAAAAAAACACCCGTCAAATATAGATTTTAGTAGAAAAAAAAAATAGCATTTCACGAAGATCATAGAAAGGGTGCAGTAGTGCTACGGTTTATTTTCACCGCCCCTTGTACTGGAATGTTAATTACTTATTGTATATACTCCGTAGAATGCTACAAGAAAGGATTTTTAATATAAATTGGTGTTCTATGTGACAGAAAATAATTATTTTAGATAGTAGACTAATGAATTCACAAATGAAACTGCTTCAAAGAACTTAAGAACTTATAGAGCAAAGTTTTTCAATTAGGAAGTGTATGAACAATAGAAATGATCGAAACATAAAGAATATCATTTTTAGTGTTTTATTTTATAAATTAAAACTACAATGATATTTTCAAACTTATTTGTTTATTACAAATTTACATTGTTAATTAATATTTTTATGTGTGTCCTATTTTTTTACTTATTATGATCTGAGACTATGAGTACGTGGTCCGATGTTTAAGAAATAATTAAAATATAATACCATAACTAAAAGATATTGTATTTTTTCTTGTAGACAACAAAAGTCAATCCCATGCGGCCATGCCATGTGGTTTCCATCACTACATTTTTATCTATTACGGAATATTTTCAGATGAAAAAGTAACATTTCTATTTTTTATTAACCATGGAATTGACAAAATTGGCGTCGTGTTCCTGAATATATATATCGTAGAAAATTCAATGATTAATAAAAAATAGAAATGTTACTTCGTGCTTTCCCTGGAAAACAAGTGGCAGTTTGCTATGCTTTTTTGGACTTTTCAATCTTTTTATTGGAGTGATTATAATTAGTCATGGACCCGGGCCGGGCCGGTTCCGGTTCCGGGCTCGGCCGGGCTTTTTTTTGGGAAGGAAGGCCCGGGCCTCCAGTTTGGTTATATATATATATAGGGAGCGGTTCCGGTAAGAACGGATCTTACTAGAAAAATGAGAACGAATCTGGACCGTTGGATTAAATTATGTGGAACTGAATTGTGCATTTGGTGAAACCAAAATGTGCATTAGATGATATTGAAATGTGCAGAATAAAAATTTAAACTCACATGTGCATTAGGTGAAACTGAAATGTGCAGAATAAAAAATAAAAAAACAACATTACATCGTACCTTTTATTCTGCACATTTTAGTTTCATCTAGTGCACATTTCAATTTCACCTAATGCACAATTTAACTTCACATAATGCCACTGCATCGTACCTTTTGTGCTGCACATTTCAATTTTACCTAATACACATTGCAGCTTCATCTAATGCACATTGAATTTCACATAAAGCAAATCTAACGGTCCATATTCGTTCTCATTTTTCTCATAAGATCATGTTCTTATTTGAACCAAAACCTATATATATATTGCTTTCCTAACCCCCCCCCCTCACTCCCCCACCCCCAAACCCCCCAAACCCCTCCTAACCATCAAGCCCAACCCGGGTGGAACCCCAAAAATGCAAAAAAAAAAAAAAATCAATTCGGCCCGGGCCCGACCCGGCCCGGCCGGTTCGCCAAATATAAGACCCGAGCCCGGACCCGCCCCTCCCCACCGGGCCTAGGCCCGACCCGGACCTAAGAACCCGGGCCGGTCCCTGTCCCGCACAGTAGCGGGCCAGGCGGCCCGAACCGGGTCCAAGCCTAATTATAATTAATTATGATAAAATTAAGATGTTTTTTAAATGTTACTAAAATAAACTTATTTACACCAATATAACTATTAGTTACTACGGAGTACAATATAATGTCATGATTATTAAAGTTTAGACATTAAACCTAAGTCACAATGTTTAAGTTACTACAATAATAACTAGTCACATTTTTGTAATTATTTCTAATCTAAAACTAAATAGAGGAGTTGAGAGATACACTCGAGGGATCAGAAAGTTGAGAGATGATTTAAAAAGAATTAATTTCATGCCAATTTAGTCCTAATCAATTTCATACTACGTATTTGATATGTGTCTTTCAATTTTTCCAATTTTGATATATAGGTACATGATAATTTTTTTTGTCCATTCACGTCCCTTCCAATTTCCAAATATTTAAATCTCTCCCATGATTTTAAGCACCACAAATATAAGTGGAGTGACCATATGTGGGCGAAAGCAATAGTAATTTATCAAAAGTGGAAAAACAAAAAACATATACCAAGCTTAGAATTTGTACAATATGTATATGATTAAAAGTGAAATTTATTAATTATTAAAAATAAATTTCAGATAAATGTAATGTTCATTCAAATTCTATGTCGCATTTGAAGTGATAAATTACATCCCATTTTGAAGGACTTGAGTTTAATACGTAGTATACTCCTTGTGCATACCCTAAAGTTCTAGTCGATGACTCACACAATTGACACATTGCAACCCAGTTTTCATGTGACAAAATACACTCGTTTTGTAAGGTTTATTTGGTTGTTAAGTTCATCTTGTTGTTAATTGTTAATTTTATTTTATTCAGATCAAATCATATTAAGAAATTCATATTCCATCAAATTAAAAAGATTTAAATCAGATCAGAAAATTCAAATTATATCAGATCTCAATATAATCCAAATAAGAAACATTTATAAGGTGAATGGAACAACTTTTATATTCATGCCAAGCCATTTCTCTATCATGTTTCTTGACCCGACCTTGACTTCCACATCCTCAATCCTTAACACCCCCAACTGATCCTCTTCCATATCCATCCTCGTCTATTCATGACCCCTTCCTTCCCTTCTATGCCAACTTCCCTCGCCCCACCACCACCCTCACCAGTCTGCCCCCCCCCCCCCCCCCCCCCTCTTGTTCTATAATGAACATATGTCAGGAACTTCATTTGAAATACTCTATACCCTAGAGGGGAACAGTATGGTATGAAAACATATTGTTAACAGTTGCTATTGTAGAACGGCAAAAGAAGCTTTTGGTGAGAGAGAATGAATGTAGAATAGATATTATCTTGAGTAAGGTGTGATGATTATTGATAATAAATTAATAATGGAGTAATAATTATAAAATATCATCATGAGAACCACAAGAAGACAGATATAAAGAACCAGTTATCAAACTTAAAACATTCATTTTTTATATATACATAGAACGAAAGAGAATCAGACTATCAGAGTATATTCATCTGTACAAGAAGCACCTCTTAAAGAAGAATCGAATTAAGGCCCATCTAGTACCCTTGTAGGATTGGGTACACAGCCTGGAACCCTGTCTTTGGGACAAGCACCATATGTGTGTCTTCATCGAGGCCATCAGATTATGATCGGACGGTTACGCTGCGGGCAACCCCACAAAACTACACGCACATACAAACGTTTGTCCAATCTTTTGAGTAGACGGCCTCAATCAAATAAGCATGTGATGACAAGACCCGGATCCCAGCTTAATTTTGATGCTCTGATGTCATAAAATGGCAGATCCCAAAAGTACGCTAACTTGTAAAGAATATATGAAAACATTACATTTCGGTCCCATGAGTATTAGGACGTTCCCATTTTTTATTCATAACTTTCAGTTTTCACTTTGGGTGCACGATTAGGATTTTTTTTTCATTTTTCGACATTCCCTGCCACTTATCCTGTGAAAATTGCTTGAAAATTACAAGGAAATTGACCATATAAGTGGTCGGGATGACCGCAGGTGATAAACAACTAGCTGTGCACCAAAAGTGGAGAACTCTTGGGACCAAAAGTGGTATTGAGGCAACTACTGCCTTACTAAATCTGAAACACCATTTACTTAATTACCATATTTCTCACCCACTCTGGTAATGTCATTATCAGCATCATCATCAGAGGCAGAGCTAGTAGCATCCATTTCTTTTCCTAGACTATCAAGTTGCACACATTCCTCAGGTGCTACAAAGTCATTATTATGCACCGCACCAGAAGACGAACTGTTTGATGATGTAGATGTCAAATCTTCTTTCTTCACAACGTTAAACACAATCCCATTATGCATCCTCTCAGCCTGCAGCAGGTCACCTTCTCCCACCACCAGGACGTTGCTGCTAGAATCAGGTGTGGTCACCCTAAGACCAGGAGAGAATATTCCTCCTCGGCTGGCTGTCATCACCTCTTGGTTCAACCTTGGGCCCCCAATGGTATCCAAGTTCTGGACATACTCTACAAACTTATCTGCTGATGTCGTCCTCATCAGCGGGCCGCCTGCCCTCGTCCAGGAAGTAAGATCACTTTCTGATTCACTGTCACTGCACCGACTTTGAATTCCCTGGGGATGAGCATCTGTGGGACCACCATGGGATGCAGGAAGAGGAGGAGGAAGGTACTCGTCAAGAGACCCTGTTGAGTTCTCACGAGCGATGCAGTTCCAAGAAGGGATCCTTCGAGAACCATTGAATCTCTGGACAGTGGTTGTCAGACCATGAGGGGAGGAGGCTGAAGCAGCAGAAGCTCTCTCTGCACTTCTTTTGAGTCTACGCATGTGGTTGAGTATGGCAACCGACTCGTCAAGAGCAATCTCAATGCCACAGTTTGCCTTTATAGCTGAGAATTTCTCCCATGTACACCTCCTTCCTTGGTTTGCCGCCTTCTGGAGCTCCACGGTTGATGGGTTTTGTATTATTTTTGAATACTGGTTTCATAACATGAAAAATGAACTTCAAATTGTTAAAGAGAATACACTGTGTTTTGAATAAAATACTTTGACAATGAGTTTCAGCAGTAGTAACTCATCAAGTAAATGAACTTTTCAGTTTTTTATTGTGAAACTGATTTTTCAATCCTCTGCATTGTCTTATATTGAGTATGATTGTATGAAGAGTTTTAATTGGCTCGGACCAGATTTTAACGACAGATATAGACCAATTCAACGACTAAAAAGATTTAAATCTTTCTTGGGCCCAAACGGAATCACACCAAGATCAAGCATATAAATGTGAAATTGATGACTCAACTCTGTATTGTGCCTTATATTGAATATAACGAGTGCTAGATAAGATTTCCAAGATAGATTCGACCAACCCATTTTGACCAATCAATAGATGTGTTTTTTATTATCTTATGCCTAAAGGGAAGATCGAACTCAACACACAACCCCTTGAATCCTTATTTATCTGGACTGAAAATTAAACATAAAATAATACTCCTTCCGTATTTTAAAGATTGCCACATTAGGTTTTGGCACATTACTTAAGGAGGAGATAGTAGGGGTAATTAATAGTGTAGAAAAAGTAAAGGTAATTAAGTACTACGTATTTTTTAAGAAAAAATTACCAAAAAAGGATAGTGAAGCAAACTTTTAAATACATCCTGAAAAGGAAAGGGTAAAAAACATTGAAGTACGGAGGGAGTACTTACTTGGCCATGAACAATAACGAATAATGGTCCAATGAAGATTCAAGGGGATGAATAACTATTAAACAAAATAACTAGCTAATAATCTCACCTTAACTAAAATATAAAAATACTAGTCCAATATAAATAATAATGAGTGCTGATTAATCTCAAATACACTTCTTGGCACCACACATCCCTGGCATGCATCACTAATTATTCAGAACAAGTGCATATGTTGCGTAAGTTTTGATGGGGGGGGGGGGCTCACTCTTTTATACTTAACTAACTATGGGTCCGTTTGGAGCCCGTAAAAACACTAGAAAATAAAATAGGAAGAAAAACACAGGGGAATTGGGAAGAAAAAATATGGAAGAAAATAAAGCATATGGGTTAAAAGTCAAATATTGTTTCTAGATATTCATTTGATTGATGTCCACTACAAATAGACTAAGAAATCTAAATGTTTTTTAAAAAACTAATCATATTTCACTTGCATTTCCATTTTCATAGGTAGACCAGGCACTTTAATAAAACCTTGTTTAATATTTTTCCCTTTTCACTAGCATTTTCCAGGAACCAAACATACCCTATAAAAATTACTAGTTTGAGGAGTAAAGAGCAAATTTGACTTGAGCAGACCTGAGCAAGAGTAGCAGGCATCACGATAGTGACATCACCCTCCCATTCTTGAGCAAACAGCTTGGCTAGACCTCCTAGAGGAAATCCAAGTTCCAGTATCTGATTGCATCTGTGCTTGACCTCCATCTCTACTAGATGAGCAAGCTGCAGTATGGCAAGTCATACTAAACCACTTAAAATTCCACAACACTCTGGATAGGCTAATGCAAAGCAATATTTCATGCCTTCTTTAAATAGGGGTGGCATTTCCGGTTCAGTTCAGCTCGGGTTTCAATTTGGTTTAAATAGTTTGGGCGAATAATACCAAATTAAACCCAAACTATGTTTTGTTTGGATTTGTTTTTTATAAATACATCCAGATTTTTTTGTATTTTTAAGTTCGGTTTGGTTAGCTCGGATTAACACGGTTTTGAAAAAACATTACCAAACTAAAAACGAACTGCATATGGATCGGGTCTACTTTGGATTTGTACGGTTTTGGTTCAGTCAAACCAATCCAAAATGTCCTCCCTTACCTTTAGGCATAAAAATCTACTAAAAGGTGATATAATTATACCTTGGCAGCAAAGTGGCCCCCATAAGCTCTCACAAATTCCTTCAATCTCAGTAAAGGAGCAATATGTGGATTAGCTTGACTCACAATGAAGTGATTAACATTGAACAACTCCTTCAACTGCATCATAGGCAAATCAATCTCCAAACTACCATCCCTCCATCTACGAGCACCACCACCACCAGAAGCCTCATCAGGCCCCAAATGAAACGGGGGATGATAAGGGACAATATCTCCGTTCCTATCTTTAGCCATAAGCTCTTGGGCCTCAAAAAGCCCAGGAAATGCACAAGAAGCAGTAACTGCGCTCCATATAACAACATGAGGCGAAGTCAAGTAATTTAAACACCTAGGAGGTTCATGCTTCCTCGGGGAACAAACAGTAATGCTCAAAATCCGACCTGTCATATCATAGGCTTCTTGGAAAGTCAAATTATTAGTGAGGTGTCGTAACATCCACTGTAACTGTCTGATCTCATGAACAGCACCATGTGTCATCACCCTCCTGAAAACTGTAAAGATCCCACCCATTTGGTCAAAGAACTGTAGGGAGCGCCAAGAATCCTCAAAGAAACTTTGGAGCTCAGGCCAAGATTTGGTTGCTATAATCGAACATATTATGGATCCAACACTGGAGCCTGCAATTATGCGAGGTAAAAGCTTGTGTTCCACCAATGTTTTAGCCACACCGACATGAAAAGAACCGAGGGAAGCCCCCCCACTTAGAAGTAAAGCGGTCCTGCCAAAGGCGTGTCTTGTTTCATGCATGAAAGCTAACTTCTCCTCCAATAAAAGTTCCTCCGAATCAGAATCGCAAACCATTTTTAACTGAGTTGAGACTTCGTCAATATATTCCTTAATAAGTTTTGGAACGTGTAGCCTTCCTTTATGTAGTTTAGGGTTACACATGTTTCCAAGGTTTCTAACCAGGTCAGCTCTCATACAGAACATAATGTCTCTGAGAGAACCTTCTCTGCGACGATGCTGAAGCTCTTGAAGTTTATTCATAACAAGTTCTACATCATAAAGGTCTGATTCTCTCACTTTAAGAGTCTCTCTTTCTAACATCTTAGCAGCGTGAGCCCATTCTTCATAGGTAAGTGCAGATTTCATCATGTTACTCCAAAACTTCCTTCTATATGCCATCTCAGCTTTCACTTTTATGTTAGTATACCGTTTCAATAGGAACGCAATGAGTGTTACTAATGCTAATATTCCTTGTGGGTTCCGAGGATGAAACCATGATAGCAAAGGTGTTAAGTAATGATTCTTGAGCTTAGTCAAGTAGTGGAGCAAGAAGTGATAAATCTGAGACCTCAATTGTGAAAGTGACTTGCAAAACAAGATTCTGAAAGCAATCACACGACCCACGATCGAATATGGTCCGATTTTGGAAAACTCAAGACTAGCCTCATTGCTAATATCCATTATCACCTGAACACAAAAAGGATCAATCTTAGGGGTCTATCTATCTAGAGAGAAACACAATGAATACAAAGAACTTGAAAACAAGAAACATAACAAGTGGAGATTCCAACCATAACATTTGACAGAAACAGGTCGTAATTAAGAAATGCTCAATGCTCATCATAGTATCTGCTTCCCTTCATCGCAGAAGTCCGTTTGGATGGAATGAATTAAATTATACCCAGTGAACTTAATCTAGACGGATATAGAAAATTGTTGTTTGGATGGAGGGTATGCTCATTGAACATATAAGAATAATTTAGCAAAAAATTGGATTAACGGAGGTTCTCCAAGGCGAACATACTAATAAAATACTACGTATTATACTACGTAATAAGCAACATAACAAACAGTCAACAGTAGGGATTCAAACCAACTGGCAGAAGCTAGTCACGATTAAGAAATGCTTATCACAGTATCCGCTTGCCAAAAGCAGAAATCTTTAGTTCAAGAAGGTTTTGAGAAGAAAATGTGACGAACCTTTTGAATTTATTATTCTGGGCGGAGATCAAGCTCAGATCACCGAGAAGAAGAGGAATATTAAACTTGACCCGGAAATCCTCAACGAGAAGCAAGCAAAGAGGTCACCACCAGGCTACCCTTCCACTCTGAGCTCTGGCATTCCAATTGAATTGCCAGCAAACCAACCCAGAAGGAAAGCTGGAAAAAGAAAGCGCTTATCGGGAATTCCCACTAATCAAACAATCAAATTCCCCAATTCCTACACGGAATCAATGTCCAAATGGGTGCATGATTGAAGAAGCGTAACCCGAAATAGTGGTGCTAAAATCCAAATATAAAGCTTACGTATCCAGAATCAGCTTTACCAGAAAAATATAAGCGAGCTAGCACAGAAGAAATGGGCGCGCCGCAGTCCAGGACATCACGTATACGCAAAGAGAGGGGATGATCGAATGGAATGTATGGAGTATGCATTAATTTCGAAGAAAAAAGAGAGGAATATATTATTTTATTATATATACTCCGTATAATATCCTCCGTACGTAATACGGAGCAATGGATTGATATAACGATCAGCGTGATGTCTATCCGCCGTGGAGGTTTGGGGCGTAGGAGACGAGGCTTTCATTTTGTCGGAGGGTATGTTTTCCAATAGACAAATAAAAATTGGCTTGTTTTGTCGGTAGAATTTCCACAGACAAAACAAGCCGATTTTGTCTGTGAACTGACATTCATAAACAAAAAAACATCTCAGAGACACAGATGTGTATAAGAATGTGTACACCAAGAATTTTTGTTCATAAAATGACACTCCATCTCTGGGGGACCCAAGCAGCAAAGCAGTATCTATTGACGAGTTAATTGACAAGATATAAATTGGACTTTAATTATAAGTTGATGAATAGAAAATGAGATTTACTCATCGCAGTTGTTGTGATTCGAATCCGAGACTTCTCATTTGTGACTTCTGATACTTGAGAAATCATATGCATTTTTTCATAGTAATCGCATCACAGTTGCCGTGATTTGAACTCAAGACCTACCCATTGTGACACTCATATCTACTAGTTGAGCCATGGCCACCGGCACGAGGCTTTCATTAAATCTAGCTGCACTGATCACATTCAAATCTAGAGCCCGTTTGATGACCACATTTTTCGGCTTATCAAGCTTATCAGCCAGCTTTTTCACTAATTTTTTATTTCACGCGCTAAATTGTGTAATAATAAGAAAAGTATGGGTGAAGTTACTTTTCTGACCGTATTAGCTAAAGTTACTGTAGATTATCATTTTAGCTATTTCCATATAAATTTTTCTTTGTTTTATTATTAAAAAATATTTTAATTTCCCCTATAAATCAGCAGAATCAACCAATCCAGCCAGCAGTTCATAAATTTCAGCAGAAACAGTGGATTCAACCAATTTCAGTGTTACAAAACGAAATCCTTACTCCATATACTACATACGGAGTATTACTCACGAGATACGTAGTATTTTTTAGAAGTATTTTATTATTTATGTTCATCCAAAATACAACATTCGCTGTCTTCGGGGGAGAGCGTTGATAGATTCGGAGATAAAACTAGCTAGCAGTAGTACAATGTATTGTATCACATGACTATAGAGGTACAAGAAGCATAGTGTGGCTGACATAGTCTTTTCAAACTCGTGTGATCTTTTCTTTTTGAAGGATCAAACTAATGTGATCTAATTGTTCAAAATCAGGGAGAATTAAAATACAACTATTAAAGAATTTGTGGAGAGTTTCCGTAAAGTTTTTGAAACGGAACCGTACTCCTTTCCGAAAGTTTTCGTGGCGGTTTAAACAGTACCCCGTACTTCCTTTTTCGAAGGTAGTGTATATCAACAGACAATCGAAGTCCATGCTGGAATTCATATAATGGCGAGAAAGTCTAACCGGATGTACATCATAGGCTCCTCCCCTATGTGGATATAGTCATATGTTAATCTCCAAGAATAACACATAATTATACAACTAAAAAGATAATGAGTGTATTAAAAGTATTACTTTCTGCTCATATATTTCTTGTTGTGTCATTCGGATATGAATAAAATCTCATTTTTTTAATTTTATTTCAATTCGAATCTAGGTTTGGCTTGCTTAGAACTCGATCTAAACTGTCTCCTTCATCTTTTAATAGGTTTGGGTAATTGTAACCCCAAATATTTACTCACTGATTATGGTAGTTTACTTTCTTAGTTAAAAAAAAACTTATTTAAACAACGTACCATGCATGCATACATAACCGGTGGCGGAACCACATAAGAGCTTGGGGTGCTTGTGCCCCTGCAGCCCTTCAACTTCTTTTTACTTTATACTCCATATAGTATATACGGAGTAGTATATAAATAGAGGTTGTTCCACTCATATGAAGTATACTATTGAATACTGAGCATATCTATCGAATACGGAGTATAAATAGAGGTCTGCTAATCTGCTCCACTCATACTTCGCCCATGCTCAACGACAATATTCAATACGGATGAGTAATTGAGTATACTATTAAAATGAATAAGTTATAAGTACTTTCACCCAACTTTATTTTTTTTTGACCTTTTAGTTAGAAACCGCAAAAATCTCTCAATTAATATAAACACATGTTTAATTAATTGTTTGAGAGATAGATTATTAATAATTAAGTATTTGATCATTGAGAATTTTTCTGTGAAGTACTTTGCTTGATCGATTTTTCATCAAATTCAGTGTTTTCTTATAGTGCAAGTTTCAAAAAATAAGTGTTTTGCTTCCTTATATAGCAAAAAGTACCCGTAAGTGATTTATACACTCTTTTTGTTGTAAAAATTCAATAACAAATTTTACCTTTGAACCACTTTATTAATGATTTTGCTAAACCTAAATAAGACAAATAAAGTGGAATGGGATAGTACTCCTCGATTTTACATTTTCTTTTTCTCCTTTTCTCTTTCTTTCCTTTTTTCCTCATCTCTTTTTAACCGCTTAATTACCTGCTAAAAGGACTGTTTTGCCTCGTTTTTTATAGTTCGTGGGCTTAATTGAGTATTTTTTGAGTTCAGGGGCTTAATTGAATTTTGTGTATTAGTAGGAGAGCCTATTTGACAGTTTTCCCTTAAATTAAATATATTTCATAAATCCTTATGTTTTTTGAAATTAATACTACGTATATATCCTGCGCTGCAACCTCTTCCGCACTACATTTTGCCGCCGTCCGCTTTGTTGCAGACCAAAATTCTAGGGCTGCAGCAAGCCGCCCCCTTGCCGAGTTGTCGGACACCTTCCCTTTTCCATTATGTTCATATAAAATACGTAGTAGCATTTTTATTTCTCCATATTTCAATTCACAACGAACAACCACAATTCCTCATTTCTTTCACATTTTTCGGTATTTCTCCATTAGTGCGTATTTCTTTATTATTCCACATTATATATTTCGTAGTACGAAGTATTAATGATTGAAGGATCCAAGGGGCATGGAGGAAGCGGAAAAATGACCAGTTATGTATGAATTGGTCAACATATTAATTAGTACGTAGTATATCAAACTCTTAAGTGGTGACATTATTATGGGAGTGTTAACAATAAAGGAAGAATGAAATTTCTATCTAAAATCTTATAAACAACAATGAAAGTAAGGACATTTTGGATATAGAAATTATGTTGGTGTAACACTTGAGCATATTGTAAACTTGTAATTCTATCCTATCCTATCTTTTAGTCGTTGTACTGCTTGTTTAGTTGCCCTGATGCCGTCTATCTCCGTTTAAATAAAAAGCTAAACCGCCCAAACGGCATTCACCCATTTCTGACTTGTTCTTTTCATTTCATTAAGCAATAAACACAATGTTTATGAAAGTGATCGTTTATTACGTTTCTAAAGTTGATTATTAATCTCAAGAAAGTATAGCCCCTTCCGTCTTCTTTCTCGATTAAAGTTGGTAAGCTTTGTGAATTGTGATCTATACTTCGTAAGTTTATGTCTAACTATTGTGCTTTTATACTTCGTATTAATTTATTCTATTTTATTTTATTTCTTGAGTTTTTTTTTTGAAAGAATTTATTTCTTGAGTTGTTAATTGTTTTTGTAGTGAGCATTTTAATAATAAGAAAAAGCGCTCACTTTTGATGTTTTTAATTGGACCAGCTTAAGTCTATCACTAGACATTAATCAATCAAACTAGACCATATCAGACCAAACCTGATTATATCATAAAGTTTCAGTCCAATTAAAAACATTTTAAAGACATTGAATTACATTTTTTGGGAGTCATAGTTTTGAAAATGTTAAACTTTTATCAAGTTACATGCTTCTACAATCCGTTGGAGTAGTCAAAAATTAGTAAAAAAAGATTTCATGAAGTTATATTCACCCTACTAAGGTTATTTGGGACAAAATATTTCGGCTGAAATATGCTTGTATCCCTTGAAAGGGAGTCCGGTTTTCATTTATAATTTAATTTTCATAAAAAATATATTTGATTTAATAAATTTTTATGATCTTTTCAATGGTTTCCGTATTGCATATCAAAAATTGATAATTTTTTTATAGCCGGATTTGTTTTTTAAATTTTACAAATGAAATACTAGTATCATAAAAAACAATGAAAAGGAAAAGGATATATTTTTTTGAAAATATTGAACAAAAAATGAATGGAATATAAAAATTGCAAAATTGTAATGTATTGTTATGCCATGTGGCAGCATTGGAGGGTGGGAGGTGATGTTCACCCTCTTTTGAGAGGGTGAACAAAATTGTTCTCCTTGAAAGGAGGACATAATCAGTAAATTCAGACTCATGACTTCAATGTTAAATAAACTTTTAGTTTTTGATACATACATTAACAACACTCAATCTAGGTTCTTGAATCAAGATTTTTTTTGGAAAAAACAAATCAAGAATAATATTTGTGATAAAACCATTAGGAGATATATTGTGGAAAACTTGACATCAAATGTCAGACTTGATTTAATTGTCCAGGAAATTTACATATATAGACAAATTACATCGGTTGCTTTCTGCTATTTTTCAAAGAATAATACACTTACATACCTATGAATTGAATCATAACTGTGTTGTGCTAAAAAAAATAACAAAGGGATCCAGGTAGCCAATAACATTTGTTTCTTTGATATTATGGCACTTATTAGAATTCTAATCGGGAGGCTATTTTTATTTGCACATAAAATCTGAAGTGTCGTTTTTAAAGATTCTCCTACTTGTAAATTATCAATTATTGTTTTCCAAGAAGACTAGCCCATAACATATGTAACATGACATTCATTTTGACGGGGTATAAATACTACTCCGTATAACACTAGAATTTAACAAATAACCTTGAGGGAGTATGCTTTCAAAATCAAGGACAAAGACAGTTTGGTCTTTGATATGCCAATGTGTATGATTATTTGTCGGGTTCTAACTAATGTGGTTTCTTGGTTAGATTTCGGAACATTTCAAAATCAATTATGGATTTTAGAGTGGAAAATAAACACACAAAAGTGAACTTTCATTATTTTCTTTGGGTATAGCTTAACTTTTTAGGACAAACAGTTACATTATCCTATCTGCATTCACGACATCAAGAAGGTAAATCT